CGTCGTCGTTATTGTTGTTGTTGCTGCTGTGGTTGTGGTTGTTGTTATTGTTGTTGTGGTTGTTGTTGTTGTTGTTGTTGTTGTTGTTGTTGTTGTTGTTGTTGTTGTTGTTGTTGTGGTTGTTGTTGTTGTTGGTGTTGATGTCGGTGTTGATGTTGGTGTAAGTGTTGTTGTTGTTGTTGTTGTTGCTGCTGTTGTTGTTGTTGTTGTTGTTGTTGTTGTTGTTGTTGCAGTTGTTGTTGTTGTTGTTGTTGTTGTTGTTGTTGTTGTTGTTGAATTTGCTGTTCTCGTCGTCCTCGTCCGCGACCTGCCCACGACCCACCCCGCGACCCACCCCTCGACCCTCTTCGTGACCCACCCCGCGACCCACACCGCGACCCACACCGCGACCCACCCGCGACCAACCCCGCGCCCCGCCCCGCGACCCGCCCCGCGACCCTCCTCGTGACCCACGCGCGACCCACCCCGCGACCCACCCGCGACCCACCTGCGACACACCCGCGACCCACCCACATTGCTTTGACGAAAATTCTGCGCCTGCGGCGGGCTCGTTGTACAATGTGTGAAAAGATCGGAGCCTGTAGCGGGCTTATTCAGAGTGGCACAGACTGCTGACGACCCCGCCGCCCCCTCACTCGTATCCGCATCGACGGGGTACTACTACTACTACGTGTGTGTGTGTGTGTGTGTGTGTGTGTGTGTGTGTGTCTCTCTCTCTCTCTCTCTCTTTCTATCTCTTCTCCCTCCCACCTCCACCCTCTCTCCTGCATCCCCCCATCGTTCCTCCCTTCAGAAGCCCCCCCATTCCCCCTGCTCCCTACCTCCGCCCTCCCTCCTCCCCGCCTCCTCTCCCCTTCGATCCTCTTCCCTCCCACTCCTTCCCCCTTATGCTGATCCTTCACCTCCCTTCTCCTTTCTCTCTCCTCCTTTCCTCTCCTGCCGCTTTTGGGGTGTGGGGCTACCTATAGCTCCTCCCGCCCCTGCTGTCAAGCTCGTGCACCTTGCTTTCGCGGAAGGCCGATCCGATCCGATCCTCCCGCTCTGCCTCCCTCTCATCCCCCCTCCCCTGCTTACCCTTGCCCTCTGGCCGCCTCCGCCGCCCCTGAGCGGCCTCCCTGCGGGCGCCTCCCCCTCGTCGGCCTCTGCTTGAGGTCGGGCTCGGCGGCCTCGGGTTAGGAGAACGGGTCCTCCTTGTCTGCCTCCCCCGTCGCGGAGACCTGCCTTGCCAGACGCAGCGGTCCGGTTTGCGGCGGTGCTCCTCCTCGTGCTTCTCTTAACCCGGTTCCTCCAGTTTCCCTCCTGACAGCAACGCGCAGCAGGGATAGCGCATCATGCCGGTCTCCCAGCGAAGCGTACCGTGTTCTTGGCAGCACGTATTACATTTGGCACGATGCTTAACAACCTTAGTTTGGAAGGGCACACTAGCGTCGAAGGTACGGCGATGACACAGCTATCACATGGCACCGAATGCTACAGCATATCGCAGTGGAATCTTGTAACGTAGCATTACGTACTACTATCGAGTTGCCGCATGACATGCTATACCGTTGCGCAGCAGCTCAGGCCGTACGGGTCCTCTACCGTTTTGCACAGCACCGCCACGGGGAATGCACGCCACGGGGAAGACACATCACAGTTCGCCGTATGACATAGTGCAGTGCTCGCCACGGGCAATACACATCACAGCTCGCCGTGTGACAGAGCACCACCGTGCAACATGATAGCACGGCAGCCATCAAACCATACCACATCAATGCCGCTGCAGCTTCACACAGCACAGCGCAATCGCAGCAGTGCGTGGCACAGAGTTGCGTTGCATGATGCTGTCCAGTGGCTTCCAGTGGCCCACGCGTCCCCTCTGGCCGCCGTTCCGTTGAGGCCTCTTGAGGTCCCTAGTTTTTTGTTTGTTTGTTTTGTTTCGTTTTTTTTCATTTGTTTTTTTTGTTGTCTCTCACTTTTTTTGGGGGGGGGAGCCTCTTCCGGGGAGCCCCTTGAGGCCTCTGGGGCCGCAAGGGGGCTCCCAGGAGCAAAAAACAACAAAATGCAAAACAGCAAACAAAAACAAGTCGCGGCCTCTTGGCTGTGCCTTGGGCTGTTCTCAGGCCGTTTTCCTGGGCGGGGGACGTGCTGGGCACCTGGCCCGGCGCATCCGGGGTGACCAAGTATGAACCATTCTTTGTTTCGGTTGTCTTGGGCGTCAGGGGCTGACAAACCAGGCCACGCCGCTGCAGGGCGCAGGAATGTTGGCAAGTCGGGTGTCCTGGGAATCTTGAGAGACCTGCAGTCTTTCTTCCGCTCACAACTGCGAGGCTTGGGGCGTTCCGCTACGGGCCAAGGCGCGGTGGCGGAAAGCTAATTTGATATTCAGCATAACATCCCGTCGCACAACATAGCGTAGCACAGCATAACACAGCATACGAATCCACGGAGCTCAGTGGAGCCCAAGGAGCCAGAGAAGCCTCCTGGGGGGTCTCAGGAAGAACCCGAGCGACCGTAGCTGGAACATGCTAGAGCCTTCAGACCTCCTGCGCACAGACACTGGACCATGTTTCCTCAAACGGTGCTTGCATTCGGAGGTTCTTACTTCTGGAATGAGGAACTGGGCCTGGCTGGCGGTCTGGCGGCTATGTGGCCGCCGTCGCCGCCCCGTCGTCGCCTTGTCCCCGCCCGTCGTCTGGGCCTGGCTGGCGGTCTGGCGGCTATGTGGCCGCCGTCGCCGCCCCGTCGTCGCCTCGTCGCCGCCTAGATTGCCCAACATAGATTGCACCACAGGTTGCACTGCATAAGTTGCACCCATTGATTGCACCACGGCGATTGCATCGCGCAGCTGGTACCGTATACATACATATATATATATGTACACATGTATATATATATATATGTATATATTTGTATATTGCGCTGCACAGTTAGCACCACATATTTTGCACAACATCGATTGCGCATCATATGCTGTACCACATAGTTTGTACCCCATAGGTTGTACCACGTACGTTGAAATACGTTGATTGCGCAGCAAATATCGCACAGCATGCTCAGCACTAGCCATATTGCGAAACATTTCTTGCACACTATGTATTGCATCATCTATATAGGTATGCATACACTGTGCACATCTGTTACACAAACAAAGCTTGCAGCAAATCATTTGCGCTAAGTAGTTTGCACCACATAAGTTGCACAATATTCTTTGCACTGCGCAGATTGCCATATCATAATGCGCACCATGAATTTCACAACATCTGTCATACATAACCCATTGCACAACACATATGGCACAACATCATTTGCACACAACATACATTTTGCACGCAGTACGCTGCACATCATATATTGCACACAATAGCTTGTTCACCATATATTGTACAACATAGACTGCGCCACATCTATTGCACAACGTATACTGCACAACATCGATTTCTATAAACACTATTTCGGGCCCAGGCTGGCTAAGATTGAGTCGTTCCGGTATTTTGAATGTATAATATTCGATGCCAGCATGTCGCTGAATCGGTTATGGCATGTGAGGCCCGTCGATGGCAGAACGTACGTCAACGCTCCAGGTCCATTTCTCAGACAGTGCTTGCACTTCGTGGTTCAGCCTCGTCTCCCTCAGGCATTGGTTGGGTCTGGCCAGGTTTCGCCACCTCGCCGCCCGTTGCCGCCTCGTTGTTCCCTTGCGCGCCAGGTGAGCCCAGCGCGGTTGCGCCACGTCGCCCCCCGCTGCCGCCTCGTGGCCTCGTGGCCGCCTCGTGCGCTGGGCGGGTCCAGCGAGGTTTCGCCGCCCGTTGCCGCCTCGCAGCCGCCTCGTAGTCGCCTCGTGCGCTGGGTGGGTCTGGCGAGGTTTCGCCGCAGTGCCGCCTCGCAGCCGCCTCGTTGCCGCCGCGTGCGCTGGGTGGGTTTGGCGAGTTTTTTCGACGATTCCGCCCGTTGCCGCTTCGTTGCCTTCTCTTGCTTGCCCCACGTATGCTGCACTACGTAGCTTACATCACGAAGTTTGCATCACATAGCCTGCAAATCCATAGTGCAATGACTTACATTTTGGGGTCCGCGCTGTCCAGCATGTGTGCACAAGTTTACATGAAAGGTCAGCGTGCGGACACATATATCCGTAAGGGCTTCGCCCCCTGCCGCCGGCCCCATCTCTCGGAGAATGGGCCATGGAAGAGCTAAGTCATGAGGCCTTGGCGCTGTTGTGAAGCAGTATCGAAACTTCATGCGAAGCCGAACGCAATCAGCAAAACCAACTGATCACAAGAGGGGTTAGCACACCTGGCGATTGGTAAGACGTGTATGGTGTACGGGCTTGGTTACCACACCTTGCGATTAAAGGGCCGAGGGAGTTCTCGCAGTTTGGGTTACCACGCCTTGCGATGGATGTGCGTGAAGGGTGGCACCGAATTTCAGAAATGTGCCAAATCCCTTGTGTTTTTGGACCCTGACCCCGCGGATCTGCGTAAGGGGTGGCGCCGAATGTCAGAAATGTGGCAAATCCCCTGTGTTTTTGGACCCTGACCCCGCGGATCTGCGTGAGGGGTGGCACCGAATTTCAGAAATGTGGCAAATCCCTGTGTTTTTGGACCCTGACCCCGCGGATCTGCGTGAGGGGTGGCACCGAATTTCAGAAATGTGGCAAATCCCCTGTGTTTTTGGACCCTGACCCCGCGGATCTGCGTGAGGGGTGGCACCGAATTTCAGAAATGTGGCAAATCCCCTGTGTTTTTGGACCCTGACCCCGCGGATCTGCGTGAGGGGTGTCGATTTCGAGCCCCCCCAGCAATTCAGACAACGCGCCCAGGGGGTGCTAAAAATCCCGTTTGGGCCTCCCCCCCCCTCGCGCGGTCAATCAACTAGTTACAGTAACCAGCAAGAAGTCAACTAGTTACAGTAACCAGCAAGAAGCAGAACTGTAACACTGGAAACTACAAACTACAACTGGTACAGGAAACTGCGAATCACGCGCCTCGCAGCCTGGTGGCCCCACAAGGGGGCCGGCGGATATATATATATATATATATATATATATATAGATAGTTGGTTTGGCTCGAGGCTCGATCTCGCTCGTCCCAGTACGCTGCGTGTCTGCATTATCTATATAGCTCGACCTCGGCAGCCCCGCTGTCTGCACGCACCATCGACGATGACCTTCACTTGCGAAGTGTGCTTCGAGAGCAAGGAAAACCGGCTCCCGCTTGGCAAGCTGGCGACGGGGAATGGTGACGTCATTCGTGGCAGTGACTGCGGGCATAACGTCTGCATCGAGTGCACGTCCGCCTTCGTGAAAGCGCGCGTGGAAGAGCAGCTCGTCTTTGGCATACGCTGCCCTCACGATGGCTGCAGGAACGAGCTGTACGAGAAAGACATAGAGCAGCTGGCGCGGGACGGGCTGCTCGAGGACGCCGTCCGCGAGCGTTTCTGTGAGCTGCGCAGCAGGGACTACGCTGCCCGGGCCAGCAGCTTCTCCGAGGACGTGCATGGTGATAATCCCGACTACAGCACGATTCGCCGTCTGTATGAGTCCACACGCCTCTGCCCGCGGTGCAAGCTCGTAATCGAGAAGTCTCACGGTTGCAACAGCTTCTTCTGCATATGCGGCTTCCATTTCAACTACCAGAGCGCTCCCAGGATTGTCGGCAACGGTATCAGCCGGTACGACAAGGTGCTCGATTTCGCTGAGAAGCACGGGCTGGCGCTGAGAGAGGTAGAGAAGGCCGTGGGAAGCGGCGACAGGGCTTGCAGGGTGCTCGACTTCGCTGAGAGGCACGGGCTGGCGCTGAGCGTGGTGAGGGGCCTCAGCGGTCACCTCGGCCTGTACGAAAAAGCGCAGCACCTCGCCTGCCAGGTGGGCGTGGCTTTTGAGGATCCGGGCGCCGACGAACACCTCAGAGAAGTGGAGCTGCGGCCTCCCCGCTCCCCCCCCTCTTCCCTTCCCTCCTCCCTGCTCCTCTCCCCGGCTGGTTCCTCCAAAGAGGAAGCCCTCGACCTGCAGATCCGCGCGTTCCACGGCGACTCGGCTGCTCGCGAGGAGGTGCGCGCGATGCGGGCGGCGGCGCGCGTGGTGGCAGCAGCAGAGGTTGGCCCGTGGTCGGTTCTCAACCCCGAACTCCAGGGGCCCCAGGCAGATCCATTCATACCCCCCAGGCGCAGCAAATGATCAAGTTCGTCCAGGCTCGGCTGGTTCTGGTTGATTGGTTGGCTTGGGGAGGGTGCATTTTTTTGAGCCTGGGCCACGTGGCCCTGAGCGTAGCAAGTCGACCACCAGTTCAGCAGCAAGGAGGCCCCAGACAAGCCAGGACGAGATCAGGCACTCCGCCTCATGGGCTCTGCCCTCGATCCCCCCCCTCGGGCGAGGCCTGGATCGCCCGTTCTCTCACGGCCCGGTAGGGCTTTCCCGGGCCCCTGCGAGGGGGAGCGGGAGCTGTTCGAGCTGCCCGCACTGGACTTCCTCGCCGGCACAGAGGCGGAAGACGTCGTGCCCCAGGACTCGGCCACACGCAAGAGTGGGCCTTTGCTGGAGTGACCCTACAGTCGGGGCCCTGAAGAAGGAACCCTTTTCGTTGGCGAGGGGCTCCGCGTTCCTTAAGTGTTTCACAGCTCGCCTCAGGTTGTCCTTAGGTTTTCGATGGGAAATCGAAGGTTAACTTATAGAAAAAGGGGCCTCGTTCCTTTTTGGAGAGGCCTGACGGCCGGTGCCGCCGACCCTGATCGAAAGGGCTAGGAGTGGGAGGAGGAGGAGGAGGAGGAGGAGGAGGAGGAGGAGGAGGAGGAGGAGGAGGAGGAGGAGGAGGAGGAGGAGGAGGAGGGGGAGGGGGAGGAGGAAAAAGGGGCCTCGTTCCTTATTTAGGGTTCTTTGGGTCAACGCCCCGACTGTCGTCTCGGTGCGCGGTCCTGGGGGGCGCGGGGGGGTGGGCGACCCGAGCATGCAGGCCGCTATGCTGTCGCATATCGCACGCCACGGGCGGCCAGCCGCGCACCGAGGCCCTCTCCTGCCCAGGGCCGCTCCTTTCTGGGGGGGAAAAAAAACACAGACACAATGCATCGTCGATTCCCCAGAAAATATAGGAAAAGATGGGAAGTGGGCGGGAAGACAAAAACCTGGAAGATATGGGAAAATATGGGGAATCGTGTTATTTGTGTGTGTTTATTTGTGTGTCCCAGGGCCCCTTCATTCCTGCCCGTGGCCCGAGGACGAGCTGCCGGCGGGGACGGAGGTACCGCCCTCGGCGCCGCCGGTGCCGGAAGTCCCCGCGCCTCCCGTGCTGGTGAGGGCCCTGTCCGACGGCCGCGAGGGCAAGAGGCGCCCCGTGCGCCTCCAGCGTGCGGCCTCGTGCGCGGTCTGACCGGCGACGGGAGGGGGTGCAGAGCGGTGGCGGAAGCCCCCCCTGTGTCTCGCCCGCCCGACGGCGAGGGGAAGGGGGAGGAGCAGGATGACGAGGGGGGAGGGGGAGGGGGGAGGGGGAGGGGGGAGGGGAGGAGGGATGGAGGAGGGAGGGAAGAGTGAAGGGGGAGGAAGGGATGGAAGAGGGGAGGGAGGGATGGCGGAGGGGAGGGGGAGGGGGAAGCAGGAAGAGACGGCGGAGGGGAGGGACGAAGGAGGAGGAGGAGCAGGAGGGGGAGAAGCAGAACAGGCAGCGGCAGCGGGGGGAGCGGGGGGAGGGCACCGTTTCGGGCCGCAGGCAGCCACTCTGGCCTGCAAGTTAGTCGCGTGTGCAATTGGACCGTCGCTGAGCTCCAGAGCTGCCGAGAGGAGAAACATTGATCCTCTCTTTTGGGGAGCCCGGCTGCCGAGCCCGTGCCAGGCTGGCCAGGCTAATCGTGGAGACAAGGAAGGCCAGAGAGCTTTCGCGTGCGATGGCTCTGTGCGGCTTGGCAGCGAAGGTGCGTGTCAAAGATTCAAGAGGCTTATGCCATTCCGCCGACCCCCAGAGGAGGAAATGTGCTGCCTCCGATGTCGTATTCTGGATGTTGTTTACCACGTCCCGTCGTGCTGCCTGCGTGTGCTTTTTTATCTGGCTTTTCCCCTCTGTTTCTCCGCGTCTGCTCGGGGCTTCTTGAGGGTCTCTTCCCCTTGTTCCTGCGCGTCTGTTGGGGGCTTCTTGAGGGTCCTCTTAGAGGCCTCGGTGGCGGCGTCTTGAACGCCCTTCCAGTATTCCCGTGTGCTTTTGGAGGCTTCTGCTGGGGGGCGGGTGGCTTTGGCCCGTATTGGGCCAATCTGAGGGGTTTCTCGGGCCGTCTCTTAGTCCAGAACGCCCAAGTATCGGGAAGGGGAAATCATTGAATTACCCTGTGACGTACCCAACCCATCTGCATCGAGTGACAAGAGGAGTCGGCCCAAAGTTGCCAGAACAATGACAGTGCAGGCGCCGTTTTATCTTGTGCAAGCTAGCTACCTGGGATGCGCTCGCGGCACGATTCACAGGAAAACCACAGCGACGAGGAGCGATGGTTCAGGCTTGAGGAGGACATGGGGGCGGGAACGAAGGGCAGGCAAGGGACGCGCGGGGGGCCGAACCGTCAGCGCGGTAATAGCAGAAACAAGACGGCATGGGGCAGAGGACGACGACGAAAGTGACGGGAGGAGACCGAAGAGTGTTGCTTTTGTCGGTTTTACGCCAAAGATGCAGCGCTGCCTGCGCCATGTCACCTCGGCGGCGTTCGAAAACCTGATTAAACCTGTTTGTAGTTAGTGCGAGAAGCGAGCGAAGCCTAGCTCGCCAACCAGGTTCGCAGCCCCCCAGGGATGGCGAGGTCACCTGGTGGTCCGCGTAGGAGGGCATTCCGCTGGACCCCGCAGCAGCACGCGAAAGTGGCGACAGTTTCACAGATCGCAGCCCCTCAGGGATGGCGGGGTCTCATCTGAATCTGGGTAAGGCGTCACTCTGCGGGGCCCCCCAGCAGCTCTCGAACGTGGCGACAGTTTCGCAGATCGCAACCCCCGAGCCATGGCGAGGTGTCATCTGAGCCTGGGTAAGACGTCACTGTGCTGGACCCCTTCAACAACCCTCGAACGTGTCGACAGTTTCGCAGACCGCACCCCCCCGAGGGACGGCGAGGTTTCATTTGAATCTCGGTAGGACGTCAGTCCGCTAGAAGCCCCAGCAGCTCTCGAACGTGGCGACAGTTTTGCAGATCGCAGCTCGCTCATCAGGGATGGCGAGGTCTCATCTGGGCCTGGGTAAGACGTCGCTCCGCTGGACCCCTTCAACAGCTCTCGAGCGTGGCGACACTTTCGCAGATCGCAGTCCACAGGGATGGCGAGGTCTCATATGAGTCTGGGTGAGGCGTCACGCGGTTGGACCCCCCAGCGGCCCTCGAAAGTGGCGACGGTTTCGCTGATCGCAGCTCCACAGGGACGGCGATGTTTCTTTCATTTGAGTTTGTGTAAGACGTCACTCCGCTGGACCCCGCAGCAGCCTTCGAAAGCGGCGGCAGCTTCGCAAATCACAGCTCCACAAGGATGGCGATGTCTCCATCGAGTCTGGGTAAGGCGTCATTCCGGTGGACCCCCCAGCAGTGGCGACAGTGTGGCAAATCGCAGCCCCACATGGATGGCGAGGTTTCATTTGAGTTTGGGTAAGGCATCGCTCCGATGGACCCCCCCGCAGCCTTCGAAAGCGGCGACAGTTTCGCAGATCGCAGCCCCACAGGGATGGCGAGGTTTCATTTGAGTTGGGGTAGCGCGTCATTCCGCTGGACGCCCCAGTAGCCCTCGAAAGTGGCGACGGTTTCGCACATCGCAGCCCTCCCAGAGATGGCAAGGTTTCATTTGAGTCTGGGTAAGGCGTCACTCCACTAACCTCCCCAGCAGCCTTCGAAAGTGGCGGCGCTTTCGCATATCGCAACCCCACAGGGATGGCGAGTTGTCATTTGACAGTGGGTAAGGCGTCACTCCGCTGCACCAACCCTCGAAAGTGGCGACAGTGCCGCACATCGCAGCCCCCCCACAGATGGCGATGCTTCATTTGAGTCTGGGTAAAGCGTCATTCTGCTGGGCCCCCCCCGGCATCCGTCGAAAGTGGCGACGTTTTCGCAGATCACAGTCCCACAGGGATGGCAAGGTTTCATTTGAGTTTGGGTAACGCGTCACTCCGCTGCACCCCCAGCAACCGTCGAAAGGTGCGCTAGTTTTGCAGATCGCACCCTCCGAGGGATGGCGATGTTTCGCTGGAGGATAGGTAGGGCGTCATTCCGCTAGACCCCGCAGCACCCTTCGAAAGTGGCGACGTTTTCGCAGACCGCAGCCCCGCAGGGATTGCCACCTCTCATTTGAAGCTGTGTAGGACGTCGCCCCGCTGGACCCCCCATGAGCTCTCGAAAGTTGCAATAGTTTCGCACATTGCAGCTCGCCAGACATGGCGAGATCTCATTTGAATAATGGTGAAACGTCATTCCGCTGCACCCCCAAGCAACCCTCGAAATTTGCGACAGTTTCGCAGGTAGCAGCCCCCAGGGATGGCCAGGTTTGATTCGAATTTGGGTCGGGCGTCGCTCCGCTGGACCCCCCCCCCAGCAGCCCTCGAAGGTTCGCATATCGCAGCCCCCCAGGGATGGCCAGGCACGAGGCAAGCTGGCACGCAGGAAGGAGCAAGCTGGGAGGCAGGCGAAACGGAAGAGAGGAAAAGGGAGGCGGAAGGAGGCGGGAGACGCGGGGGCAGTGCTTCATTCAAAACGAGCACCCAACGCAGGAGTGTTGGGAAGAACGTAGGAAATCCACGGTTTTGGCATCTTGCGGTCATCGTGTGGGTCCTTTTGGCTCCCTTTTGGGCGTTTTCCAAACTTTTTGGGCCGTCTTGAGCTAATCTTGGGTGTTCTGGAGGCTTCTCTGGCGCGTGCCCTTCTTGAGTCATCTTAAAAGGGCGTATCGGACATTTTGGAGGCCGCAGTGGGTGGATTTGGCGGCTCCGAGGGTTAGGGAAGTGCGCGCCCCCCACCTCTAACAGTACTTTAGCCCTCAGGGGAGGGGGCAAGGGGAATGGGGACCAGGCAACTGTCTCACACGCCTTGTCACCCCCGGCGAGCTGGGGTCGTCGGATTCTCCTCTCAACTATGTACAGGGCGCTGGAGTCGTGTACAGAGACGGCGGTTCAATGACTGGAGGAAAACAGGCGCGTGTCCCTCCTCATTGTCCCTCCTCCCAATTCCGCCTTATCCCTCCTGCTCCCCCCGTCTGCTGGCTCGACTCAGGCCCCCTAGTGCCTGACCCTGATCCGGATCCCCTTGATTATCCGTCGTTCTTCTCATCCTCCGTGCTCTCCCTCCCAGAAGGAGTCGTGCCGTGGCTGCCGCAGTTCGGGCCATGAGGCTGCTGCTGCTGACGACGACGACGATGATGATGATGATGATGATGATGATGATGATGATGATGATGATGACGCTGATGATGATGATGCTGATGATGATGATGATGATGATGCTGATGCAGATGCTGATGATCATGATGATGATGCTGCCGACGATGGTGATCATGATGTCGACGATAATGATTATGATGATGGTGGTGGTGATGATGATGATGATGATGGGGGTGATGATAATGTTGATGTTGAGGTGGCTCTTGTTGTGGTTGTGGATGAGGTTGTGGTTGTTGTTTCGATGGTTGTTCTATTGCGATAGTGGTGGTGGGTGGTGATGCGTTGCTGTTGCTGCTGCTGGTGCTGCTTTTGGTTGTTGTTGCTGCTGCTGTTTTTGTTGTTCTTGCCATTGTCGCTGTTGTTGTTGCTGCTGCTGTTGTTGTTTCTCTTGTTGTTGTTGTTGTTGTTGTTGTCGTTGTCATTGTCGTTGTTGTTGTTGTTGTTGTTGTTGTTGAAGAATTCTCATTTCTGAAAAATAATTAATGTTGATCTCCCCCGTCCGGTGCACATTGTTTTTTTTTCGGTTGAAGTGCCCTTCCAAGGGTTCGCACCCCGTTTTTTATCAGGAAAAGTCTTGAGGGTCAAACTGTGTCGTTGGCCCCCGGTTTACAACAACAACGGCTCCCGCCTGATACTTTCTCGCAATTTATTCAAGAATCGCGCTCTCGCTTAGGACTTCCTTGCAGTTTACCACCGGATCGCGGCTCCCGCTTGATACTTCCGCACAATTGATTGAAGAATCGCGCTCTCGCTTTGGAATTCTTCGCAACTTACCACCGAATCGCGGCTCCCGCCTGATACTTCCTCACAATTTATTCAAATGCCGCTCCTCGACACTCAGGAATCACGCTCCCGCTACATATTGCCTGGCGGTTCAAGCAGAATTTACGTTTCAACGACCCGCCCGGTCGACCCGCCCGTCTGGGCCTGCCCGCCCGACCAGCCCGTTAGGGACTGCAGTCGCCGCTCGCTGCCCTTCGCCCGCCTTCGATGCCCCTCGCTGCCCGTACTGGTTCCGCGGTCGCCTTCGCTCGCTGCCCTTCGTGGCCCCGTTGCTGCCCTCAGTGGCCCCGTCGCTGCCCATTGTGCCCCCGCATTGCATGCCCTTCGTGGCCCCCGCTCGCAGTCGTCCGTCGTGGCCCCATACGCATGCCCTTCGTAGCCCCGCTGTCGCCCTTCGTGGCCCCCTCGCTGCCCTTCGTGGCCCCTGTGCTGCCCTCAGTGGCCCCGCTGTCGCCCTCTGTGGCCCCATATACGAATGCCCTTCGTGGCCCCCGCTCGTTCGCGCCCGTCGTGGCCCCATATGCATGCCCTTCGTGGCCCCGCTGTCGCCCTTCGTGGCCCCCTCTCTGCCGTTCGTGGCCCCGTTTCTGCCCTCAGCGGCCCCGTCGCTGCCCTCTGTGGCCCCGGATTAATTGCCCTTCGTGACCCCCGCTCGCTCGCGCCCTTCGTGGTCCCATACGCATGCGTTTCGTCGCCCCGCTGTTGCCATTCGTGGCCCCCTCGCTGCCCTTCGTGGCCCACTTTCTGCGCTCAGTGGCTCCGCTGTCGCCCTTTCTGGCCCCATATATGTATGCCCTTCGTGGCCCCCGCTCGTTCGCGCCCGTCGTGGCCCCATATGCATGCCCTTCGTGGCCCCGCTGTCGCCCTTCGTGGCCCCCTCTCTGCCCTTCGTGGCCCCGTTTCTGCCCTCAGCGGCTCCGTCGCTGCCTTCTGCGGCCCCCTATACGTATGCCCTTCGGGGCCCCCGCTCGTTCGCGTACGTCGTGGCCCGCGCCAACAACGGCTCCCGCCTGATACTTCCTTACTTCTCTACTCTTTTCCTTTATCTTAATTTTCATGTCGTTCGTACTCCATTGTGCTATTCTTCAGTTCTACGCATTCCGCCCACTCTTGCCCAGGCCACCCCATCCCACCCCAACAATCTCCACCCCTTCCCGCTCGCATCTTGCATTTCCCCCAAATTATTCCCAGTCCCTCCTCCAGATTCCTCCGTGCGCCCCCCGCTCTTCCGCACTCCTCCCGGTTCCTCTTGTCCACTCCTTGCCGCTCCTCCTCCTGAGACCCTACTCTTGTCCACTCCATCCCAATCCACTCCACATCCCCGCGCTCCTGTCGACGCGGTTGCAGTTCTCATTTTCCTTCCTCCCCATTCTCCCAACATCCCGCTTCTCTTCAGGGTTCCACGGGATTTGTTCCTGACACCAGTTCGCAGCTGTACGTCCCCCCCGTGGGGGTATCCACGATATGTCTTTTCAAGGGGCTGGTACGTGGCGCTGTTTATGGCGCGACCCATGGCGAAACTCATTGTTAACCTGTGTTGGGGTGGCTGGCGCAAGCCATGGCGCAAGCTTAATCGCCACTCGCAGCGCAAATCATCGTCCTCCCTCCCTCCTGCCCCTCCCCTCCCTCCGATCCCTTCGTCTTCATTCTCCCCCGTTATCTGTTACCCTTCGTTTTTAAGGGTTTCACCAGCCACGCGTGGCAGGGAGTGAATGTACCCCCCAAAAGGGGGTACGATCGTAGACGAAGAGGGCGTATGTCGAGGGTTTGGGATATGCAGATTAAATGGCAAGCGGGCGAATAAGAGCGAACCGTCTCAAAATGATTGTTGTTGCTGTTGTTGTTGTTGCTGTTGTGGTGGCGGCGGTGGTGCTTGTGGCTATCGTTTATGTTGTTGTTGCTGCTGCAATTGCCTCTGCTGCTGTTGCTGATGTTGGTGCTGGAATAAAAGTAGTAGTAGTAGTAGTAGTAGTAGTAGTAGTAGTAGTAGTAGTAGTAGTAGTAGTAGTAGTAGTAGTCGTAGTAGTAGTAGTAGTAGTAGTAGTAGGAGTAGTATTTATTATTATTTATTATTATTATTATTAGTAGTAGTAGTCGTCGTAGTAGTCGTAGTAGTGGTGGTGGTGGTGGTGGTGGTAGTAGTAGTAGTAGTAGTAGTAGTAGTAGTAGTAGTAGTAGTAGTAGTAGTAGCAGTAGTCGT